CGATTAATGCTCAAAATTTTTACTACTTTTATTGCCACTAAAAATTTCGCATTCACAGCCGAAAATTAACTAGCGTATGAACTAGCTCACTGCGCAGCAAGTCTTTAAGCAACATTCAAGAAAAGGATGTTTAGCTAGGAGTTTTCGTTCTGAATGTCTTAAGTCGCTTGAACAATCTGGCAAATTGGATCGTGAGTATTTCTCGCATGAAACCAATAAGTAATAAGTTGTGAATGGGAACGATGAGAGGAGATATTTGCTATTGATCATTTGTTTTGTTATTGATCAGTTGTTGTTTTCATGAGACCTGGCAGAACAGATTCATAACGATGCTTCTGATTTTGCAGTACAAGCGGAACGAGTGTATTTTGATGATGGGCGCATTGGGTGAGGGCGATGAACTGTGGATTCTTGGTGATCCTTTCATCCGTCAATACTGTCAGATATATGACATGGGTCGCGAACGTATTGGCTTTGCTGAGGCTATCCAAAAATGAATTATATTCAAACGTCAATTTCGTTCATCACTTCAATGCCACATATCAATATCACATAAAATTTGACATGTTCCATGAAAACTGACTGTGGTAGAGAGTAATATGTTGTGGGGAACGGCGACTTTCGAACATCCCATCAGTGATTCGCTATTTCCGTCTCCGTTGCCGACTTTTTTCGATCGAACCACATCATTTTTAGTGTTCTCGACTGCAAAATTTTGCCCATGACTGTCCCCGTCCCCGATCTTGTTCTCTTTCCCGTGACATCTAACTACGAAACTAGCTGAACGCATCATCCAACTATGAAAATGCATTATGAATGTGAAGATTTAGAACGCAAAGCATTTTGATCAGTTGCATTTTTGCATAGTGCCTGCGTTTTCTACAGTCATTTTTCTATAATAAATCTTTTGTTGTCTCGAAAAATTTTGCTCAAAGAACATTGGCAATTGATTATTTTCATTTTTATTATCAACAAACAAATTATTCATGGTATTGCCATGAAGCAGTCCATTTGGTTGTTCCGTCCGTTGATATTGATAAGTTTCTGGTGAGCATGTGCTCACCGCAATTGTCACTTTTGCGCGGAAATGACGTATTGTGAGTGTTGTTGAGTTTTTACTTCACTTTCACGTTAAGTGAACATCAGAAAGGCAAATCACCTATTGGATGATCATTATCTCGAGTAAGTGAACATCGTAAATTAGAAGTTCACGAAGAAACACGTAAACAATCCATTTCACATATTTATACTTTATGACGAATGTTCAGTACGATAAAAACGGTGATGATGCATACAGATTTATAAAGTGGAATTGAAGCAAATAAATTACGCGTTTATCAATCATGCATTATATTACATATTAAGCCAATGTATCATGCCGTGACAGCTTTGAAGAAGGTCTGACTAAACGTTGTTGTTCAGAGGATGCGTTTGTGGCGGCGGCATTACAAGATGGACGTGACGGCGACTGAACACCTCCAAATGCAGGACTATTGCTTCTAGCACGTTCTCGTTCCAGAACGCTGTTTTCATCGCTGTTTGTCAATCTGAACAGATAGCATTGCTTGAGAATAGCAACTTTTTTGAACGGACACACTCTTTATAGCTGCAGCCAGTTTATGCTGGTGTCAAACTTTCTGCAAAAGGCGCAGTTTCCAAAGGACTCACAAATGTTTTCGAAGTTGGCATAAAATTAGGTGGACCATCATGATATTAATGAAATAATTGCTGCTACCAAATTCGTAGATTCATCTCAACTCCAGATACCATGGCATTACATTTGATATTCTGTGCAAATCAATGAAACGTACGGTAAACGCGAATCACACGATTGTAACATCTTCGTATCACGACTGTTTCTGAACAAGGAACGTTTTGTGGACGCTTCACTTCGTCGTTGTCGAGTGTTCGCCTCATCGGGAATAAGCGACAGCTCGAATGCACGATGCGCTACGAGTGCAGTTGTTAACGCTACTCCATTCATCTGTAACAGTTTATGCACGT